ATATATTGTTAACCTTAATATTCTACAACGCATCCCTTTTCACTATGTCTTCATTTTAATACTGGACATCACCAGTTTGGGAATAAGCCAAGATTATTTAAAAGGAACACTATAAGGTCAGGAACACAAACCTGTATTCCTGACCCTATAGTATTAAAAACACCATCAAGCTCCCCCCACCTCTCTGGCCCCCTAAATATAGTAAAATCTTACTTTTATTCTAGTCTGCTGCTTCTGGCTCTGCCCCTGATCTGCCTCCTTAGCTGACATCATCTGAAGTGGTGATCTCAGCCAATCACAATGCTTTCACATAGGAAAGCATTGGCTTTTCTGAGAGTGTCAAGGAGGCCGATCAGGGGCAGGGCCAGCATTAAATAAAGATTAGTGTTTCCATGCAGAGAATAGGGACACTGAATGTCAGTCACTATGTGCAGCACTGCTCCAGGAAGCACCTCTAGTAGCCATCTCTAAGAAGACAGTGTTTACTGCAAAAAGCCGGATTCGACTCACCAGAACAAATACATTAAGCTGTAGTTGTTCTGGTGACTATAGTGTCCCTTTAAGTATACTTTAGCCACCAAACTAGAACTGACCTCTGTTCTTATTCCACACTGTATAATCTCTTCTTTTATGATCAACTTACACATATCTTTTTTTTTAAGGGACCCAAGTGGGTACACCGACTGGACATTCTCCACCGTTCGATGCTGGGGAGAGGGTGCAGAAGGTGTATACAGATTGCTGATCAGTGATTCCGGTAATTTGTCAGAACATTTGTTTTCTCGTGTCAGTGCATCGAAGGCATATTATATGCAGAGTATGCATGAGCAAAGACAAGCCATGTCATTTGTATAAGTTGATCAGTTTACAGGATATCCCAAATCTCCTGTAATTAGTGACAGACTTTGTTTCAATGCCAGTATAGGGTTTTTGCCCTGTTTCAACTGTAAGAAAAAGTTTTATCTCCCCCGATGCCACAGATTAAACCTGTGTAGCACACACGACATCCGTGCATCACAAAGCTTCGTAAACATAACAGTCCTGTCACATGGCCCCCCTCCCCCACATAAACTATCCAGGTTTAATAGCTGTAATAAAGTAAGAGTTGTTGCTCTATGGTAGACGAGGATCTACTTTTTGACATTTCTGTTCTAATTGATTCTGTTTTAACCTTAGATTTTTTTCAAGGTTAATCTACATCTTCCGTGTATTTCCAGTCACCTGCTTCAACTTTATAGTGTAGTAAACATACTTGTAATTTTTCAGAGCAAGAGGTGATGTGCGTAATCGGTTTTTCACCTTCCTCCTTTAGGAGATATCAGCGGGGGAATTTTGGAACGGTGGCAACTGACATTGTATGGATCCTCCTGGAACTCCATGGATGTGGCAGAAAGAAGAAGGTAAAGTATGAAGGTGGTCATTGATGGAAGCATGCCCACTAACTCTGTGTATGACGTGTTTGTATAGGTATGATCCGGTCTCTCGCTGCTATAACTGTCTTGTTGTTGTGGACAAGGTATTGTGTCAATATGCATACATTTTTATTTTTGTGTCTAAATATATGAGATACTTACAGTCCTGACATTTCAATGCTGTCCACGTCTCTAACCTTCTCATGTGCCATTTTCTCTCTCTCTCTCAGGGTGGTGGAAGACGCTCAGAGTGGTCAGTATCTGAATGATAACTTCTCGCTTCCCTGCCCACCTGGTCTGCAAATCTCCGAGCAGGATAATTATACCATCACTAATAACACCTTGCGGGTAAGTTATGTACATGTATTATTTCTGTACAAATGTGTACTATTACTTTTATTTTGTGTTACTTTTCTATTGTTTTGGTATCTAAAAAAAATACCAAAGACCTCTCACTCTGTTTTCACATATTAAATCCCTCTATGTCTTTTTGTTCCCCAGACATTAATGCTTGTTGGCTGTTTTGCCGTTTTCTGGTCCCTATATTATACTCTGGAGTTGTACCTGTCACGGATTTCCAGCACCAAAGATCTAGACCTGAGTTGTGAGGAATGTCATTGTTTGTGGCCCTGCAGCAAAGGGTCTGTAAGTTTGCAGCAACTGGAAGCAGGCAAAGAGATGGAGTCTCTGCCTCTGTGTGGTGCAAAAAACTCTACTTTGGATGAAGAGGAAGAGGATGAACTTCTATCATCCACCAGAAGCCACCAAACTAGAACTGACCTCACAGGACACAGGCAAAACAGGACCTTGGACCTCCCACAGTACCGGGACAGAATTAAAGAAGATGGTTGTGAATATGAGATGACTATGATTAACGTAAATGAGGCCAGATACGCTTAATTTGAACATTGTGGAATTTGGTCTAAAGCAAGAGAGTAGCAAAGAGTTGTTGGCTTGTCTTCGGATGGCTTGAATGCACTTTTGGGATTCTTGGGCCAGCCTTGGTCTAACATTAGTCCCCTTTCTCCTTCATTGTGACTCCTTTATTTAAGGGGATATGTAACCACTTCTTTGAAGCTTCTTTCCACGATGCTGGTTTTAATGTAAAGTGACCGCCTTGCTATTGAAGATACTTGGCTCAGACAGGCCTCAGATTTTGTTATATTCTAATGCAAGGTGGTCTCACAGCCAACCTAATACTCTTTCTACTCCTGACTGTAAACAAGGAACTATAGACTCTGTAAGTCTTATCGGTTAGGGAGATGGTGCAGTAAGCAAATTATATTTGCTATATATGATACTGGTTTATTATATTTAAATACGGGTGATAATTATTGTCAAGCATTGGAAACAAATTCTGCTGCTCGTCTGTGCGTGTGAGTGTTTGTGAGCACGTGTGTTTGTGTGCGTGCACACGTGGGCAATCCCACAAGTGATCATAATAGAGGCATAAAGTAGCATTGTGGCTTGGGAATCAAATCTGGTACAAAAGCCATTTTTTGATCTAATGCTGGTGTGTGCTTCTATATAGGGTGTATGCATCACAAAATGACTGCTGTGTACCAGCAAAGGTTGAAAGAACTGTATAGAATTGAAACGTGGACACTTATTATCTGGGATATGCCAACAATGAAACATACCAAAATAACTTTATAGGGACACAGGTTTCTATATTGTCTGTATTCTCATTCCGTATTTGTGGATAAAGTTAATCGCTCCATCATGCTATGATACAGAATTCGTTCAGTTTATATCTGGTACAACAGAGGCTTTATTTTCAAATAAAGGTCTTTTTGGCTTTAGATGGGCAGCACAAGGCTCATTCAAATAAAGTATCTGCTGTACCGTAAATATCTATATAAAATATGAGCCATCTTTCAGCTTGATACGTATTGTTAATGTCGGGTTTGTTTTCCTGGCACTGGAGAATCCCTTTAAGTCTTCATGGTCAGCCGCTAATCCAATGTTTCCGGTCTTTGCACTGTGCCATTTCCTTATATATTTATTTTCTACTTATTATTTTTACATCTTTCTTAAACTGCTTTTATTTCTCTGAGCTTTGGTGACTGTGAATTGCATAACTATTATACTGCATATACAGATTTTTAATAGTTTTATTTCCTTTTTAACCTGGCTGATAACATTTGGAAGGAATGAGTAAAGCTTTGAGGCAAACAAAAAATATTGACCGTACTTTAAAAATTACGTAAATGTTTTATGATTTTCATTCTTCAGTCTAAAAATGTAACCTTTTGTAATTTTGTTTTTCCAGGGCAGACACTGTGAATAACGCACAGAGCATAAAGCACTCATACCTCTGGGAGAATAGAATTTAGAATATTAACCTCTACATCCCCGCTGTCCTATCTTGTACTAACAGTCCTAAACTCTGTGATCACTGAATTAACAGGAAACGGCCATTTAGCCTTTCTCAGCTTTGCCCTCTAAAAATATTCAATCATTCTAACCCCAGAGGAGCTAGAAGCTATCTGTTTAGAAACAGCTTTTTGAAAGAATTATACAGTCTTTGTGATGTCCTTTTTGAAATTGTCTTCTGAACGCTTCTTAACACTAATCAAAACTGTGGCAGAGATTCCAAAATACACATGCGTATAAACCGCCCTGATGCAGGGATTTTAAGTGCAGATTTATTGAACTGTTTAACTATTTTGAAAGGAAATCGAATCCAACCTATATAATAATGTTGTTAGATATGTATTACATCAAAGTGCATATGTCACCTGAAATGAGATTTAAAACAATCACCGAGGGATGCCTTAGGTGATCTGCTTTTAATTTTAGAACATGCTAGCTATTTGAACTCATTTTCTAGAGTTTAAAAAAAAAAAAAACTGTTCTTGCGTTCATAGTTTGTGGAAATATGTATGTGTGTTAATTTATGAATGTTTGATCCTTTTCAGTGCACTACAATCCCCAAGAAAGGGTTAAATAAAGGTTATTTGTTTTACCTCTCCAATTGATCAATCCACATCTATCCTCTATTTATGTCCAGACAGAGTTTTGGAGGTTTCATTTGACAATTACACAACATACCAGAAAGTATGTATAACGTATGTGCAGAGTGAGATTGTTTCTGTAAAACTATTTTAAATAAGGTTTTCTGTTCCTTCTAAGGAAGCAGAATTTGCGTGCATTAATGTGAGTGGCAGAATGCAATTCTGAGTTTTAAGGAAGTAATATTTGAGCAGTGTGAAATTTATTTTGAGAGCAATAAAAGGTTTTTAATTGGTGGTCTGCTTACTGTGAATGAGTCAATGCATCTCTTTCCTTGTCATATACCGTCCCTTCTATTCCATTAATAACAAATGCAAAGTTTAATAAATTCAGGGTACCAGGTCACCATGGCAACACAAAAGATAGGCTCTGACACTGCATGTCATGAGGCAGTTTGTCTCCGTACCTGTTAGATCATCTCCCCCGTACGTTAATGCACTCCACAAAGTGCAACAAAAGAAAATTTGCAATGTTTTCTTTCTTTTCTTTCAGACAAGTGTTTAGTGGAACAGGAATTGGCATTGTATACTTTACTAATTCTGCAAGTAGAATAACATTATTGTTGAACCATCTTAAGATGCATACAATATAAAAAACAAAAAGTCCGACAATGCTAATGATTTAAACATGTTTATTTTATCCAAAAAAAAAAAATTAATAGTACAAAACATTGGTTTCTTTTTCCATTTTAAAACGACGTTCTAGGCAAACATCCTGTTTGATTTAAGACTTCAGTAAAGGAAGAATGATTTTAGTGTCAGGTGTATATGCGGTGCAATGGAGCAGGGAAGTGTAGAGAGATGGAATGATGTACAGGACTTCTGGAACACTGAAAAGGGGTCTATTCTCTAAATGGCAAGCTGCAACGACTTGAGCACCGACTTACAAAATTTAGGACAAAATATTCGGATTGGGGGGTGGGAGCCCTTCATTTCAACTGAAATGGAAACTACTGGTTTCCCCCTCCCCCCCAACTCTCATTCTTTGTCTAAATTTTCAAGTCTGTCCTGAAATCTGTGTCACCCTTAACGTGGCGCAATAACACTGGTGCTAGTTCTAGCAAGTTGCTGTCTGAGTGTCTGAGGATGATAGGGATAGTAGTCTACAAAAGCTAGATGATTGGGATGATTTCTTGCTAATTGCTGTAGGGAGAATAAAGGGTAGTGTCTGATTAATTCCTATAAAGTTTTAGCAGTGGAGAGAGGATGAATACAGACTGACTATATATGGAAAAGCGTTGCTTGTTTCGATTATAAACAAGACAGACTATCTACCTTGCCTCCTATCCTGAGGCAGGAATTCTAGGCTTGCGTGACGCCGTTTACCCATTCTACAACAGGAATGTGGCAGAGTTAGCAGCCATGCACAGGCAGTTTAATGATTACAAATCCAATATTAATCCCGTCTGCCGCTAGCTGAATTAATTAATATTAATTTCTCCTTAGGACTAATGATGTGTGAGGACAGTTACAATAAACTTCTATTGTTACAGAGAGAATTATAAAGAGCCCTTTTTGTGAAAAAAAAAAAAAAAAATCAGATGCCTATTTCAAGATAGATTAAAGTAATTTTTTTCCCCCTCTCCCCACTTTGGCGTAATAGCGGGTGCACTGGGGTAAGTAGTTTTTCTGATTGCATTGTGTAACCCCTTCACTGCTGAAACCACTGGGCAACAATGTACTTCCAGCAGTAAAGAGGTTAAAAGGTCTCTTACGCGTGTTTCAAATTTAGCCGATAATCTGTCGGGGACGTCCGTAACCCGTCATGCCGGCCTGGGTGGCACCCTGATTGCTGCCCATCTGCAAACCAATGACATGCTTTCCCTGTTTCAGTTTATCATCAGAGAAATCCCGTTTGTGTTCTTGCGCTTTCCTGCGAAAAAGAAAATAGAAACAAATATTACGATCAGCTCACGAAAAGTATTTTTTATTTTTTTTTGCCTGAACTGAAGTTCAGTGTTCAATTCACTACAACATGCGGTTTGTACTCTCTATAAAGTATAACATTATAGACCGATTAGTCTCCTTTACTTACTTCATGAACCACGAGGGGTCTCCTTGGTATTGTCCATCATTCTTGGTAACGGCAATGCTGCCAAGAGCCACAATCGTCCTCTGCACGGCCGCAATGTCCTTTCCTACGATAAAGACAAGTCTGGTATAAATCTGTAGAATGTTTGGGTGGGTTGGTGGGTGACAAGTTGCAGTCTGTATGTCTCCATCCCAATCTACCACTTTAATGCCTGCTACCGGTCCCTCTAATTTATAGTGGATCTGCTGTGTGCAATCTACTTTTATATCAATCAAATTTTGGATTTGCCGTTTTAGGTTTTGCTTTTGTTTTCTACAATCTGGGAGATTTAATATCGACATTTACACACTACTTTATATTATGTGCTTTTCTTCCAATGACACTCGAAGGCACAAAGACTATTTGTTTCAGTTTTCTAATCCCTTCTTATTTGTCTAATCTAGTTAAACAAAACTCCCACGGCATCTACTGTTGCTTTATACAGTATATGCATTAATTAATATGCAACATAATTTGGATTATTAACCTACACTGAGAGCAACCACGGTATGGTTACTGAGTTTACGGAGCAGTTTGGAGGTTTCTTGCTTACAATGGGATTGTGGTGGATCTCATCTACTGGAACTTGACATTCCAAATGAAACTTACAGGTAAACGTTTGTTTGTTTGCTTGGAAGCTTCGTATGGTTTCCCTGGTCAGCATAAGTTGAAAGTACCCAGCTGTACTCCTCTGTAAAATCATAAAAGGGACACTATAGTCACCAGAACCACTACAGCTTAATGTAGTGGTATTGGTGTCATGTCCTGGAGAAAAGACAGTGTTTACATTGCTGGCTAGCTACACCTCTAGTGACAGTCACTCAGATGGTCACTAGAGGTACTTCCATGGTCAATGCTGCACAGTGTGCAGCACTGGCAATCCGCGTCTCCACTCTCTGGGTTGTGCTGTGCTTGTGAAATAGCCTCCTTATGCTTTCCTATTGCAAAGGATGCAATTGGATGAGAGAACTCAGTTTTGTGATATCCCAAAAATGTATAAAAACACCTTTCCCATGTTATCGGGGAGGGGGAATGGGTGAGTGGGAAGAGAAATACCTAAACAGTGTAACATTATATTGTTAGGCATACGTTTGTGTTCCTGACATGGTAGTGTTAATTCAAGCTTAATGATGTTTGTCCAACTAAATGCTCCTGACAGAGAAGCATTTGAGAGATACAGCACATGTGGTGTAATCAGTGATCCATCAATCGAGTGCTTCTCTATGCTCACATCCAGTGTCTGGCAGCGGCATTATTAGAATTCTGAAGCCAGAGGTAAAATAAATAAGATTATAGACTTTATTTTAATCCAAGTGCCCCTAGGCAGGGTCTGTCAGATGGACATGGCGGAATCAAAGCTGCTAGGAGCATGGGAATTGCAAAATGTAAAAAGTGCCATTTCTCAGTAATGACACAGTTTTCATTTGCAAGCCTGCAGGCCCCAATATCACATCTTGAAGATGAACTGATATAGAATGTTCCATTGATGGTTATCTATTATCTCCCAGTCCTGGCCCCTGGCTCTCAAATGTAAATAAATTTTTTTTTACTTCCATGAGTATTCAAATTCAATATCCACATCTGTGAAAATTCACATGGTTACTCTACACCATGTTTTACCTTCGTATAGGTCTACAGTTTGGAAGATGTCTGTTTTCACCACGCCATATTCCTCTGCTGCCTTCAGAAACTGCGCCACCTGCTCCATTTGCTTGAAGACCATGCTGGGGGGAGGATCGGGAATCTTGACTGGTTGGGATCCCTTGGGATACAGGCTGTTGATCAGCTTTGAGAGGATCTGTTGACAGAAGAAAGTAAGTTACAGGCGTTTCCAAAGGATTAAATCCACCTTTCACTGCCCCAAGAGCCTGTGGATAGAGTAGAAAAGGGATATAAGGACACAAATCCATATTTCCAGAGAGTGATACATGGACAACGTATTGTAACATGATGTTTTTCTTTGTAAAATGGACGATATAGCCAGAATCAATGAATCTTCCAGGTGGAATAGTGTCAAAGGTTGAATGTATCTATCCAGAGAGGAATGTGACAAGGACAAAATGCGTTCACAGACTGAAATCTGTACGTCCTGAGAAGAATCTCTCCTATCGAGTGGTGCCTCATCTGACATCCTCTTATGCAAATATTTACAAAATAGCAAAAGGATGGTGTTATTTGTGAGGACCTTTTTAGTGGCATTCCTCAAGCCTGTGTCCACATTTATTATATATTACAATGGCAGCGGGAGTCAGTTACTCAGATTTAAAATTTTTTAAAATAGATTCATTTTTTTTTTTTTCAAATTTGTATCCAAAAATATTAAATCAACACCTTAACAGGAGAGATTTATCAAAGTACCGTTGATACTTTGTCTCATTTTTGGCAAAATGTATTAAATCTGTTGGATTTTTCCAATTTGCGCCCTATCCTCTATTTTTTAATATGTGCCATTTGGCCGTCTCCTGAAATAACATTTTTGATAAATAAACCTCATGTCCAACTACAGGTCACAAGACACAGACATGGGATGGACGCTGAAAAGAGGTAGGTATCCTTACCACTCCATTTTTTAGCCACTGCTGAAAACCAAGTCTTCCTTGCTCATCAGGCGACCCAACATCACTTCCACACTGAATCTTGATCCACTGCACCAATCGCGCTTCAAGTTCATCATCATACTTCTTCTCAATACGAGATTGTATATCGCGGCTCATGCCGTAAGATGGACCTTTGTTGGCCATGGCTGTTGGGAACTGCACAAAAAACAGAGTGTGAACCTGGGGTCATTTAATTTGATGATTTCATATCCGAATAGTGATAATGAAGAGACAACTTGGAAATCACACTTAGAATTAGTGTAGACTTTCTCCACAGAGAATGATACATTTTTACTTTATTCTAAATTTCACAATTCTTTTTTCAAATGTGGAAAAAATCTTCATCTCATCCATATCTCATGATACTAATCCAATAAAGGCAATGTTGTTGCAATCCAGAAAAAATAAAAATACATATTCATACTCAAAGCTAAGTTAGATTGACTAGACGGCTGGCAAAGTGACTTGTTTTCCAAAACCTTGTCTTTGCCGACAAAATAAAAGATAATGGGTTTATTACACTACTAGACCATTGTAGAGAATTTCAAATTTAACGTCAGAGCAGCTGAGCAGAAAGCAGAGCTGACTCACAAAAGTTTGATCTCAAATTTTAAATTCACATTGAATTGTGACGTTAGAGAATAGCTAGCCCTTGTCTGTGTGCATACTTTTACAGATACCTGATTTAATGTAAAATTGCTGTTATCTTTCTATGTGATACAATCTCTTATAAATAATATAGGATTGGTAGAGATACTATTTTGGATTACACTTTTATTATGACTGCATTATAGTGGGCTAACTGGAAACGTTCTCCAAGTCTGCTATGCTCTCAGACTGCCTACTGTCACCTTAAAATTCACTGATGGCAGTCACCTGAAACAGGGTGTACCTCTCTTGGCACGCACAGCTCTCTGTGAACACGTCATCATTACTGTGTATGTCATACAGCCGGAGGCTGGAGGGATATGTGATGTCACACCATAACTCCAGCAGCCGCCATCTGTCAAACCCATATATCACACGTACCACCATCCACATTGAAATCTGTGAGATTGATGCTCAGAAAAGGGGCGTTCATTAATATTTGGCCCCTAGGCTATAAGTTGACAGCCCACCCATTGGTCTAAATGCAATCACTTGATGAGTTTCCACGTTTCGATTTGAAAGTAGTTTTCTATAATATGTAAATATCCCCTCTTTAACAGCCACAGCTCTCGAATGTCGTAACCTGGTAACATCTTCACATTATACTGTCAGAGATAGCGTTAAAATAATCCCTGCTGTTGACAAAGCAGTGGGGCGTAGACTATTGGCAGTCAACATGAAAAACCAAACCGCGCTGTTCCAGATTACAAAACAGAAGTTAATTCCCTGAACAATAAATTGCAGAGAGCACAAAAGTCAAATTGGCAAATTGTAGGCCATAATGGTCTACCTGGAATTATATCCATAATATTGCGAGCGGATTATTAGGTTCCGTAATAAACAAAGGGTCAGCCTCTGACTATACAGAGTTTTAGAGTAGAACTCCCATAACTATTGGCTAACCACTTGTTGCGGCCTGCTTTTATGACCATTAGTGGTCGTAGCCCAGGGCACAGCATTATGGAGCACCTGGTAAACCAAACAATTGTTATATCTAGAGTGTACTTACAAGTATGACACAACACATTCAGGGCAACGCAACAGAAAACAGACAAACATGTTTTTAGGAAATTAACTAATTTGCTCTAAGGCAGACTGGAGGCAGCAACAGGGGTTACAAATAGAATGCATCAAGAAGCGTGATGCATTTAAGACAGATTTGGGGTATGCGGTTATGTATAAAAAGCTTTGTGCCAGGAGTATATCCATGTCTATCTGCTCAATAACAAAAAAAATAATTAATTTTTAGTTATTTTGTTGTAGATTCTGTATAAAAGTGCACGTTTGCGTCAATTTTATGTCACTTTATCGAGATAATAAATTGATCACCTTTTTGTCTTAAATAGGTCCCAAATCTGTATAACTGTCAGGATTGAGGGTACCTGCAGATGGTATTTATAAGACAATGCATCCTATGGTGACATGCACAGCTGTGTAAAATAATTCCATTGATCACCATTAATCACTTGGACTATGTACAGAGCATTTACAGGAACCAGTAATTCTACAATAACAGAATGAGCTCATACCTTACAGCATCCCTAATAACAGCCACATCTGCCCTCCCAGAGCCCCATACATAGAGATCAATGGTACTCTGAATGTAAACATCACACATATTCCTATATTCTATAAGACATTTTTATTTTCTTGTTATCATCCTGCCATCTATTTCCTTCATTATCAACTAACTACAGAAACCCCTGCTCACCTGGTAATTAATGCCATTAATCAGGGCTATTGATAAGCATCACATCTGTACATTATTCCTCAAACACAGATGTCTCATTAAGCAGAGATAGATCTCTCTGAGTCTTTGTATAAAGATTGCAGAGTCTGCACCTGGATGTCAGAAATCTAAATCAGAACACTCTGTATCCAATCAGTAAGGAGCAGGACAGGTAACCCATTCCACAACTGCTGCAAAGCATCATCAAACTGAATTCACTTATAGGTCATTGTATCTGTCAGCAGTTTCTGGGTTATTTAGTAGGTCAGTCTTATATTTACTAGAAGTTTGTTTCTATCTGCATACATTCTCCTATCCTCTAGACTGAGTTCTAATCTGTGTGCATGTTTTCTCTAGAACCTCTGATCAGTTCTTTCTACCAAGCAGTTCTGTTCTCTATTAGTGCAAAGTATGGATCCATCCCACAACCATCACATACCCTCCAACTCACAGTTAGCTACTGGAAGATGCTCTCTGTCCCCTGGATGCTGAATACTGACTGAGAGAGGAGCAGGGATGGGGAGATAAAAATCCTGTCCTGTATCTGCTTGTAATGTGGGGGAGTCTCAGCCCACTGCCCCCTCCTTCCCTGCAGAGTATGATCTTCCCAGCACCATATTAGGGGAAGGTCTGACCAAACTAAGATTTGGGGTCTGAATGCATTCTCTGGATAGCTAAAGTATGCAGGCAAGGGGGCAGACTGGGAATGACTCAGAGAAAATGAGGGATGCACCCTGCAGCAAATCCTTTTATAGACTCAACTTAGGGGTATCTCCCTGATTAACTCATTGAACCCCACAATACCTTTACCAGGACTATCTGAGAGGAGATACATCATTTATTTAGAAAGAGACAACATAGAAAGGCAGCAGGAGATGTTAAGAAATCACTGCTTAATATTGCATTATTATAGCTGTATGGATGCTATGATCCCACTGAGAATTATTATTACTGGTATTTATATAGCGCCAGCATATTCCGTAGCGCTTTACAATATTATCAGAGGGGAAGATTTAACTATAAATGAGACAATTACAAAAACTTACAGGAACAATAGGTTCAAGAGGGCCCTGCTTAAACGAGCTTACATTCTATAGGAGGTGGGGTGTAAAACACAACAGGACAAAAAGGTGGGAGTGAAGCAGAACTGGAGGAGAGAATAGAGTGCTGCCCTTTAGGAGAGAGCAAGGGACAGGTATGTGAGGTAGAGGTTACTCTGGGAGGCCATAAGCTTTCCTAAAGATATGGGTTTTGAGGGGCTTTTTAAATGATTGAAGACTAGGGGAGAGCTTGATGGCCGTAGGCAGGCTATTCCAAAGGAAAGGAGCCACCCGCAATAAGTCCTGCACGCGTGAGTTGGCCATATGGGTGCGAGTAACGGACAGGAGAAGGTCACAGGCAGAGCGGAGAGATCGAGAAGGGGCATACCTACAGGTCTGTGAAAAAATATAGGAGGGGCTAGAATTGGTCAGTGCTTTATAGGTGTGGATTAGTACCTTTAATTGAGTCCTATAGGATACAGGAAGCCAATGTAAGGCCTGACAGAGGGGTGAGGTGAGAGAGGACCGACTAGAGAGGAAAATCAGTCTGGCTGCAGCATCCATTACAGACTGTAGCGGGGCAATACGACTTGTAAGAAGACCTATTAGGAGAGAGTTGCAATAATCCATGTGAGAGATTACTAGAGCATGGACAAGCTCCTTGGTACGGTAGCATCTAGTGTAAGAAAGGGCCGGATACGTGCTATGTTTTTAAGATGGAATCTGATTCGGTAACAGACTGGATGTGAGGCACAAAGGTGAGGCCAGAATCAAGTATAACGCCAAGACAGTGCGCTTGCAAGGATGGACTGATGTGGGTAGCACTCAATTAAAGGGAGAGCAAAAGAGATGGATCAGTATTAGTTGGAGGAAAGTAACTCTCCTGATGCTTCTATATATTCAGCAGCATAGGATTCCTAGTAACAGTCCAATGATATCAGCATGGATTATTCACCTGGAATCAAAAGGGTGAAGTATGCATTCCAAAACTAAAATGTTTTCCGACAGAAATCCTATTTCATGTTTCTGCTCTGATTTACAGCAAACTAAATTTTATTTAAATAGTTGCGTTAACCATTAACCCATTCATTGCAACTGAAACAAATGTGTTGGGGTTTATTCACTAAACAGAGAAATTAGAAGACTGGCATATTTCAGGACTAAATAGGGCAAGTAATAAAAAAAAAAGAAATTAAAAAGAAATTCCAACTTGACTAGCTTTTACAGCTTTGCCATGTTAACCTAAAATAGACCCACTAATGATCTGTTCTTTAAAGGGACACTATATTCACCAAAACATCTTTAGCTTACTTAAACAGTTTTGGTGTATAGAACATGCACCTGCAGTCTCACTGCTCAATCATCTGCCATTTAGGAGTTAAATCCCTTTGTTTATGAAACCTAGTCACACCTCCTTGCATGTGACTTGCACAGCCTTCCTAAACACTTCCTGTAAAGAGTCATCTAAAGTTCATCTTTCCTTTATTGCAAGTTCTGTTTAATTTAGATTTAAAAGCTTGTAAGAGCCTTCTGTATGTGATTAAAGTTCAATTTACAGAGAAAGAGGTACAATTGTTTAAGGTAAATTACATCTGATTGAAAGTGAAACCAGTTTTCTTTTCATGCAAGCTGTTTCTATTAAAGTCAGGGGAGGTGTGACAAGGGCTGCATAAACAGAAACAAGGTGATTTAACTCCTTAAAGGAACACTATAGTGCCAGGAAAACATACTCGTTTTCCTGGCACTATAGTGCCCTGAGGGTGCCCCCACCCTCAGGGTCCCACTACCGTGGTGCTGAAGTGGGAGGAAGGGGTTAATCCCTTACCTTTTTTCCAGCGCCGGGCTCCCTCGGCGCTGGGACTCTCCTTCCTCTTCTTCCGTCATCGACTGAATGCGCATGCATGCAGCCAGTCTCATAGGAAAGCATTCTCAATGCTTTCCTATGGACGCTGGCGTCTTCTCACTGTGAAAATCACAATGAGAAGCGCGGAAGCGCCTCTAGCGACTGTCAATGAGACAGCCACTAGAGGCTGGATTAACCCATAGGTAAACATAGCAGTTTCTTTGAAACTGCTATGTTTACTGCAAAAAGGGTTAAACCTAGCTGGACCTGGCACCCAGACCACTTCATTAAGCTGAAGTGGTCTGGGTGTCTATAGTGGTCCTTTAATGGCAGTGAATTGAGCAGTGAAACCCGAGAAGCATGATCTATACACTAAAACTGCTTAATTAAGTTAAAGTTGTTTAGGTGACTATAGTGTCCCTTTAAGGAGCCTCTTCCAGAATGGCCCTGTCAGTGACTTACAATGGGTTGTACACAGCAGCTGAAGCTAAATAGATGGATAATTCCATTTTGACATAGGGTATACAGGGACTAGATTGTGACCACAGCCTATAAATCCCTCTGCCATCTCAATCTGACCTGTAAGGACCGTGTGGTAGTATAGACGGTCCCGTATGGAGCATCGGTGGTCTTATTGAGACGTTTTATTTTGATACAAGATTACCAGGAATGGGTTTCAAAGCCTGTTGTCTAGAGGTTTGCAGCTGGGATCACTCTGTGCATTGATTGAACAGCTATCTGCAGCTCTGTACTGAGGCTGGGGTGGTATTAGTACAGGGCAAACTGATCCCAGCAGCTTCCCCGTTGCCAAGGTCTGCTGAGTTTAAATTGGCAGTAGAGACATTTGCAATTCAGCTTTGTTGCCAGTAGGCAGGTATCAGCTCTGGTTTCATTGGGGTGTATGTGCCCCCTTCTGCCAACTGGGATGACCCGTCCCCTGTCCCTCATGTTACTGGCCTAGACTATGCTTGGTATATGGACACCTGATGCCATCTCCAAAACCTACCAATGAGAGCAGCAATTAACAAATCAGAAGAAAGAACGATAAGGGAACATGAGATGAGGAATGGAGGAAGAAATTAACTTGAGGGAATGTGGTTTGTCCTTCAAAATTCATGCTTATAGAGTGTTGTTCACAGGGTCATTGAGAAATTACCTGAATCATTTTTGGGCTAGGGAACGCAGGGTGGATCCTTTTCCCCAAAAGAGGCTCACTAGAAGCAACAAAAATGGTTCTGTAGAGAGGTTTAAAATATCTAAATATTAGTACCTGAAATACAGGACAGAGTTACATCAGGATTAATCCCGAAGGAAGAAACGGGGGATGTAGGGGCGGAATAAAAGGGAAATAGATCAGGTACCTGTGATGAGCCAACCCAACAGGCCAATGAGGTCGATGGCAAATGGCCCTGAAGGCTGGGCCTACCCTCTCCAGGAAGAATTAAGCAATCCCAGGGTGAAACATTATCACATCCTTAACAAATAAATGTTTCAATATACATATAAGATGGAACAGATATACGTTAATGTATGCCAGCAGGGAAAGTCGCCACATCGGCAGCCCTGCTAATATAGAACAAAGACCTCACTTATTGCTTAATAGATTAAGATGACATGGAGTTTACGTTAATATTAGAGGGCACATGGTCTAAAAAAATGGGAAAACATGTAATGAACACATGAATAATATTTTGAAAACCCATAATAAAAAGTAATTTGTCCATGATATTCTAGCGGTGTATATAGATATTTATTTTGAATCTTCCGTTCTTTTTGACTTAAGTTTAAATGAAATTTTGTGTTAATATTGCATTATTAATTTCAAAAATTATATATGTGCGTAAAGAAATTTTTGAATACTCCATCCATAAAAAGGATGATTTATGTAACATTCAATATGGCAGCCCCTATACATAATCAAATTAAAGTTTAATAAAAAGAAAATAAAGTAGCCCTGATAACGTGATTAATAATGTAACATTTGATCACCGGCCAATTAATTTGCTGAAGGAAATCTCCCCCCCCCCACCCTTTTTATTTGAAAATAATTGTAACATATTGTTGACATTAATAAGCTTATGTGTACTCCCATAGCCAGCATCAACTGCGATGCTTAGGGAGTTACCATAGCAACCACAGCGCATGCACAGCTGAAAACAGTTAATTGATTGACAGGTGGGAGAGACTTATTTTTAAATATTTTTTTTTCTTCTCCCAACCTATTATTTTGCTAGCACAAAGCAGAGATAGAATTTGATGCTTTTAAAAAAGATCACGAGTTGTACCTCACACGACCGGTACGGTCCAAACCAGTCACTAAAGCAGCGGGAAAACTATCCACTGAGAGATCACAACAGATTTTACAGAATAAGCATTAAATAAACACAAAAAGGATTAAAATAAGTAAAAATGCACTCACAGTTGCATTTGCTGGATAACACAAGGTTTGTCAGAGTCTTCAGTGATTTAGCCAATCGTTATGCTCTGAACTTTCTATAGCACCAATGATTTTACCTCTGGCAGCATTTTATAAGTGAGTGAAGTTGTTGTAGTTCAAAAGTCAGATTGCTATTTATAAAGCTGAACGAAAACTCACATAAACCTGAGCAATTACATAGTGTACAGAACATTTTCACTTCTTCAAAAAAACTAAATACTGCAGGTTGACTGGCGGTGTCAGTGGTAAAACAGGGCTTTTTTAAGAACACATTTAAAAAAAATTTAAATAGAAAAAAAAAATAAAATAAATAAAACCGACAATCAAACCCCCAGCACAACCAGAACCATTAACCCTTGAAATGACCTGGTTACCTTTAAATGAAATACATTCTAACATGCAAAAGAAATATATATCAGATAGGATAACAGTTACTCTAAAGATACATCTGACAATTAATCTTAACACGACAGCAGACTGAAAAATCAAAAGACTTTATTGTCTCAAACATAAAACAAACTAATCAGAATACACTGAAATCAAATGTAAAACAAGCAGCGATGCTACGGATGGGAAGGATGGCACAGGTAATAGAAGAGGGAAAGTGTGCTTAAAGGGGGAACACACCCTGTACCCAAAGGGGCATTACCTTGGCAATGGACATCAAAGGGTCAATTGGCAACAAATACAATGTGGCATTTTACAGACA